TTTTTTTTTTTGAAATGGAGTCTCACTCTATCACCAGGCTGGAGTGCAGTGGCACGATCTTGGCTCACTGCAGCCTCCTCCTCCTGGGTTCAAGCGATTCTCCTGCCTCAGCCTCCCAAGTAGCCGGCACTACAGGCACCTGCCACCATGCCTAGCTAATTTTTGTATTTTTAGTAGAGATGGGGTTTCACCGTGTTGGTCAGTCTGGTCTCAAACTCCTGGCCTCAGGTGATCCACCCACCTCGGCCTCCCAAAGTACAGGGATTACAGGCGTGAGCTACCGTGCCCAGCCACCAATGTCTTAATGGCCACACAATGCTCACTAATATATGCCTTGGCCCTCGGCTCCTGTTGCTATAGAATTGGTTTGATGACTACATATTAGATGAGATCTGGGTTTATTAGAGCTTATGCCTTGAGTGGGGAGTCCTCAGCCTAGGTTTACGCCTGCTCTTGACCTTGGTAATGATTGCTATTAACACTCTACCCCCTTCTTATTTTTTAAGATGGGGTCTCATTCTGTTGCCCAGGCTGGAGTATAGTGACACAATCTCAGCTCACTGCAGCCTCTGTCTCCCAGGCTCAAGTGATTTTCCTGCCTCAGCCCCCCAAGTAGTTGGGACTGCAGGCACATGCCACAGCCCCTGACTGAGACGGGGGTTTTCAAGAGATGGGGTCTCCATCTGTTGCCCAGGCTGGTCTCAAATTCCTGAGCTTAAGTGATCCTCTTGCCTTGGCCTCCCAAAGCCCTGGGAATAAAGGTGTGAGCCATGTTTCACCATGTTGGCCAGGCTGGTCTCAAACTCATAGCTCAGGGGATTCATCCACCTCGGCCTCCCAAAGTGCTGGGATTACAGGTGTGAGCCACTGTGTCCGGCCTTGGACACAGTCTTATTTGGATTCCTTATGCTCTTTTGACAAGCTCAGAGCCTCAGATAAACTCAGAAAGTAGATGATTACATCAGGCAGGCTCTATCAACAGGGATTATACAAACCATTAGCCCAACTGTTAATAGAAGTCTGCTTTCCTGTCGGGTGTGATAGATCACACATATAATCCCAGTGCTTTGGGAGGCCAAGGCAGGAGGATCGCTTGACCCCAGGAATTTGACACCGGCCTGGGCAACATAGTGAGACTCCATCTCTTAAAAAACAATTAGCTGGGCATGGTGGCATACACCTGTAGTCCCAGCTAGTCAGGAGGCTGAGGTAGGAGAATCACTGCAGCCCAGGAGTCCAAGGCTGCAATTAGCCATGATTGTGCTGCTGCATTTCAGCCTGGATGACAGATTAAGAGCCTGTCTATTAGGAAAGAAAAAAAAAAATGTGCTTCCCTCACCTCTGCTGTGGACAGCCCAAAGTCCTGAGAGCCAGTGCCCTTACCATTCACCTCCTCTAGCTGTTGGCTAATTTGTTTCATCCTCTTTTAGGGAGTTCTCCAGAATTCCATCTCCTTCCTCATCTTCCCCTCCCAGTGACTCCTGCACTCAGTTCTTTGTCTTTCCTCCTCCACAGGTTAGAAACTCATCTTGCTCATACCGCCAGTGACTGACTTTTCACTCAGCCTGGTGGATATTTTCCAGCCCTTATCTTCCCTGCTTCTCTGTTGCACCCTTGTGACACTGGAATGTTTCCCTTGAAACTGTCCCCTCCCAGGACAGCACACTCTTCCTGATTGTCATCTCTGTCACTCCTCGTCTCTCTCACTCTGTTTCTTCTCTGCCTCCTTCAGCTATCATTTCTTTCCCTGCCTGACTTTCCAATATTGGCACTCTTTGGTGTTCCATACACAGTCCCTACGATCTCTCATTGTCACAAGGAAAGAGAAAAACCAACCATAGACGCATGAGTCTCAAATGGATATTGTTGACCCGATTTCAACCCTGAGTTTTAGCCCAATGCAGTATCTCGGTGTGTCATGAACATGTCAAGCTGTGAACATCTGAGACTGGGTTTGTTCTCTCTCCCTAACCCACCCACCTACCCAAGAGTTTTCCTTTTGAGAATCTTTGTTTTTTTTTTTTTTTTGAGATGGGATCTTGCTCTGTTGCCCAGGCTGGAGTACAGTGGCATGGTCATGGGCACTGCAGCCTTGACCTCCCTGGGCTCAGGTGATGCTCCCCCCTCATCCTCTTGAGTAGTTGGAACTACAGACACACCACCATGGCCACCTAGTTTTTGTATTGTTTTTGTAGAGATAGGATCTCACCAGGTTGCTCAGGCTGGTCTGGAACTCCTGGGCTCAAGCATTCCACCTGCTTTGGCCTCCCAGTGTGCTGGGATTACAGATGTGAGGCACCACACTTTCTGGAATTCATTATCTCTGGCGATGCAGATGGTGGTGGCACCCAGCTGCCTAAGCTAGAGCCGCAGAAGATGTTCTCACCTCCTTTTTCTCTCTCCCCTACTCCAAAAAGTCATAATTCATCAAGTTCTGGTAAGTTTACCGGCTAGATAATTTTGGAGTCAATTTTTACGCTCTCCATCTTCATTCCTACTTTGTTTTTTTTTGTTTGTTTGTCAGATGGAGTCTAGCTCCGTCGCCAGGCTGGAGTGCAATGGCAAGACCTCAGCTCACCGCAACCTCCGCCTCCCAGGTTCAAGCGATTCTCCTGCCTCAGCCTCCCGAATAGCTGGGATTACAGGCATGCGCCACCATGCCTGGCTAATTTTTTTGTATTTTTAGTAGAGACTGGATTTCTCCATGTTGGTCAGGCTGGTCTCGAACTCCTGACCTGAGGTGATCTGCCCACCTCGGCCTCCCAAATTGCTGGGATTACAGGCCTGAGCCACTGCGCCCAGCCCTTACTTTCCTTTTTTAAGACGAGGTCTCACTCTGTTGGTGGCTGGGCGCGGTGGCTCACGTCTTTACTCCAAGTACTTTGGGAGTCTGAGGTGGGTGGATGACGAGGTTAGGAGATAGAAGTCATCCTGGCCAACACGGTGAAACCCTGTCTCTATTAAAAATACAAAAAAATTAGCTAGGCGTGGTGGCGCATGCCTGTAAACCCAGCTACTCGGGAGGCTGAGGCAAGAGAACCACTTGAAACCGGGAGGCAGAATTTGCAGTGAGCTGAGATCGTGCCACTGCGCTCCAGCCTGGTGACAGAGCTAGACTCCATCTCAAAAAAAAAAAAAAAAGACAAAGTCTCTGTTTCCCAGGCTGGAGTGCAGTGCCATGCTCATAGCTTACTGCAGCCTCAAAGTCCTGGACTCACATGATCCTCCTTTCTCAGCCTCCCAACTGGCTAGGACTACAGATGTGTTGCACCACACCAGGCTAATTTTTAAAAGTTTTTTTTTGTCGAGGTAGAGTCTTGCTGTGTTGCTCCAGCTGGTCTTGAACTCCTGGCCCCAAGTGTCATCTTGCCTTGTTCTCCCAACATGCTGGGATTATAGTTGTGAGCCACTATACCCAGCCTATTCTCACTTTCTAATGCGGGCCACCTTCGTTTCTTTTTTCCTTTTAAAACAGGATCTCACGTCATCACGCACGCTGGAGTGTAGTGGCACGATCTTGGCTCACTGCAACCTCTGTGACCTGTGCTCAGATGATCCTCCCACCTCAATCTCCTGTGTAGCTGAGAACACAGGCATGTGCCACTACACCTGACTGGTTTTTTTCTATGTCTAGTAGAGGTGGGGTTTCACCATGTTGCCTAGGCTGCTGTTGAACTCCTGGGCTCAAGCAATCTGCCCACCTTGGCCTGCCAAAGTGCTCGGATTACAGGTGTGACAACCACGCCTGGCCTCCGCCCTCCTTTCTTTTTTGCATTGCTGCAAGTCTCTCCATCTTTGGACTTGTCCTTCCTCTGCCTGTCCATGGCCACCAGGACCAGCTGTTTAAGCAGGAGAGCCCATCATATGACATTCAGATCACATCACTCTCTTCCTTAATAACCTCCAATGGTTTCCCATTGCCACTAAGTCACAGATGGCAAAAGCCATCTATTTCAGTCTGTCCAGGTTCCCCTCTGCTCCTTTACCCTTCAACCTAGGCCTACCAGACTCTCTCTACCTCCCCTGTAAGTGCCTGGCTGTTTCTCCTCATTCCCCTCTGTGTAGTGTCCTCTTTTTTCCCTACTCACTTACCACTGCCTTCCAGTTCTTTCATATTCTTTCACATGCTCCTCATGCGTCACCTATTCCAGGAAGTCTTCCTTGACTGAGTTTGAGTTTGGAACTTCTTAAATATCCTGGGCACTGATAGAAATGTTTATTATCTTGATTGTGATGATGGTTTCTCAGGTGCATACATATGTCAAAACATACCAACGTGTATACTCAAACATATGCAATTTATTGCATGTCAAAATCGTGTGCACATTTCTGTGGCTGCAGTAGACACATAGTTTTATAATTTACATGGGGCCATGTGCAGTGGTTCACGCCTGTAATCCCAGCACTTTGGGAGGCTGAAGCGGCTGGTTCACTTGAGGTCAGGAGTTCGAGACCAGCCTGGCCAACATGGTGAAACCCTGTCATTACTAAAAGTAAATTAGCCAGGCGTGGTGGTGCATGCCTGTAATCCCAGCTCTTCTGGAGGCTGAGGCACAAGAATCATTTGAACCCAGTAGGCAGAGGTTGCAGTAAGCTGAGATCATGCTACTGCACTCCAGCCTGGGTGGTAGAGCAAGATTCTGTCTCAAATAGTTAATTATAATAATAATAATTATTATTTATGTGCAGTTTCCATTCCCCCCCTTCTTTCTCCACCAGGCTGAGTCCCCTTTAGGGAAGGCAGGCATCTTGGAGACATTTAACTTGGCTCCCTTGATCCTATAGTAGGTGCTCAATAAATATTTGTATATGGATGTACATGAGCCTTGATGTTAACCCAGGGAATGTAATAGTTGAGTGGGTTGTCTTTTGTTTGGGTTCACTTCAGATTTTTGGTGTATTTAATAATTTAACGCAGCATGAAGTTTATTTTTTTGTTGTTGTTAAACATCAACTACTTAACCAGATGTGAGTAATCATTTTCAAACCTTCTATCCTAGACACCATGCCACAAGAAGACTGATCTCTTCCACTGTTTTCACCATGGAGGACTCCGGAAAGACTTTCAGCTCTGAGGAAGAAGAAGCTAACTATTGGAAAGATCTGGCAATGACCTACAAGCAGAGGTCAGTCCGACTTGACCTGCTTTTCCTTTTTTTTTTTTTTTTTTTTTTTAGTGAAGTTTTACCCTTATTTCCAGGCTGCACTGCAATGGCATGATCTCACCTACCGCAATCTCTGCCTCCTGGGTTCAAGTGATTCTCCTGCCTCAGCCTCCCAAGTAGCTGGGATTACAGTGTGCTGTGGAAGGCTTAACTTATACTATCTCAAAACTGCCTGTGATGAAACTATTGACACCCCTATTTTATAGATGAAAAAACTGAGACTCAGTGAAGGCAGATAACTTGCCCACAGTCACACAGCCTATAGGTAGTAGAGCTATAATTTGAACTCCAGACCTATGGTCCTGATTATCTTACTATGCCACTTTTCATTATTATTTTCTTTTTCTTTTCTTTTTTGTTTTTCTTTGGAGACAGAGTCTCGCTCTGTTGCCCAGGCTGGAGTGCAGTGGTGCCATCTTGGCTTACTGTATTCTCTGCTTCCTGGGTTCAAGTGATTCTCGTGCCTCAGCCTCCCAAGTAGCTGGGATTACAGGTGTACGCCACCATGTCTGGCCAGTTGTTTGTGATTTTAGTAAAGAGGGTTTTGCCATGTCGGCCAGGCTGGTCTTGATCTCCTGGCCTCAAGTGATCTGCCCGCCTCACCCTCCCAAAATGCTGGGATTACAGGCATGAGCCACCATGCCTGGTCTTCCCTGTTATTTTCTAGAAGAGTTTATCAGTTCCTAGATGCCCTATCTGGTCAGTTCTTTGTGTGGAGGGAAAGAGCTTTTCCCTATGCCTATGAAAATATCTTGTTGCAGATTTTGAAATTCGAAACCTATGTTTTGGTGGGTGCTCATATCTGGGAGTTACATGTGTGTTTTTGGTTTGTCACTGTTTGTTTTTATTTCTAATGGGTCTTTACAGTCTGTACATAGAGGCCTTATTCCAGTACCTTTAGTTTCTTTTATTTATTGAAAAATTATTTGAGGGCCTGGCGCAGTGGCTCACATCTGTAATCCCAGCACTTTGGGTAGGCAGATGGCTTGAGCTCAGTAGTTTGAGACCAGCTGTGGCAACATGGCAAAACCCTGTCTCTACGAAAAATACAGAAATTAGCAGGCATGGTGGCATGTTCCTGGAGTCCTAGCTACTTGGGAGGCTGAGATGGGAGAATTACTTGAGCCTGGGAGGTCGGGGACGCAGTGACCTGTGATTGCATCTTTGTTACCCAGGCTGAAGTGCAGTGCCTGTTCACAAGTGTGACCCTATCTCACTGCAACTTCTGGACCCAAGTGGTCCTCCTGCCTCAGCCTCCCAGGTAGCTGGGATTACAGGCGTGTGCCACCATGCCTGGCT